CCCCATCCAAACTCCTCCTTTGGATCAGTGACAGCAGTGTCTGCTCAGTCACAGATCTATGGCCTGGCCTGCTCTCTATCGAACACAGATCTGTCCAGTCTGCCATCTGTTTTTTTCAGTACAGAGTCTCCTCCTGATCAAAAATTAACCCCTGAGCATGCTTCGTAGCAGTTGATGTGTATACTTCTGAATGAGCCTACTTCTGTAATATCCCACTAGGATCTCTAATTCAGTCCAGTGTTCCTGTAAGCTGTGCACTTGTGCGGCTGCTCAGGAGAAATTAAAACGCCACCCAGCTGATTAGCAGCGTGCCTACAGCTAAGGGTTTTTTTTTTTGTTTCTACTGATGGTGCACATTCACACATGCCTCAGTGTACATTAAAAAATTATTCTGCTCATGGATGGAAAAACCCTGCACATGGATGGAAAATCCCACACATGGATGGAAGAGATTAAAGGGAACATTGCTCAGAACTATCAAACACAGAGCCACCATGCTTGCTAAGTCTTCTTTGAGGCCTCCACTGTTTTCACCAAAGATTACAATTTACTCTAACCTTGCTAGAGATATAAGTATCCTATAGATAGATGGGCCTGACCCAAGAAGTCTAAATTCAAAACTCAGAATTGCTAATCCTAAGTGTTCAAAAATCAGAAGATCATACCTCCCCCCAAAATAATGAGATTTATGTAAACATGAAATTTAATATGTATATAAAGCTTTGGTTCTTTTTATTTGTCTTCTGCTGTTGGAGCATTTCTCTGCAGCCACATGGGCTAGAAACTGCCTTTTCCTTTAAATGAATGTAGTCACATGATTCCGGGTGCTGGGGATCTAAGGGAAACTTGCAATAAAATGATGGATACTTCTCCAGGGTCTGGAGACGTTACCCTCTCTGTGGGTGTGAGGGATGGATGTCAGAGGGTAGCCGTCTGTTCTTTTGCTTATTAAGGCACGAGGAGCGGAAACGGCTGGAAAATGCCCTGAAAGGACATTCCAAGTCTAGCAGGAAAGCAACATGCTTGCCTGGCAGGATACGTGCTATTGTCTCCCCTTGTGGCCAGCAGGGATTCCTTGAGCTGTGTTTGGAAGAAGGAATTTACGTGTGTTCTTATTTTTTCCTCTTCTCTCCTGTTTTGAGGGCGCATGGAGGCGGGAGTTTTTGCAGCGTAGAAACACTGCTGGTATTGTACAACCCTCCCCCCTTGGCACTTGGTGTGAACTGGGCAGGGCTCAGTTTGCAGACGGGGAGAAGGGGATATATAACCGGGGAGTGAGGGAGACAGACGCGTTAGTTTTCATGGCCTGTGGCGACTGCAGTTCTGCTCTTCCATGGTAGGAGTTGCTGCTGAGAGGGAGGATCCTATAGCCACTCCACTTGTAGCTTGGTTGTCAAGACTGAGGTCAGGGGAGGACTCATGTGGGGAGCCTGCCAGTTACCCTGGTCAAATGTGGGACTGTACATTTTGTATTTCTCTCTGTCTGGATGGGTATTATCAAAACGGCCTTGCAAAAAAGTCCCACCTGTGTAAGGCAGGGATTGCAGGCAAGGTGTTCATGATAGCGGTTCCCCTGCTGTAGTGTTTGCTCTTGGCGTTTTGATTTCCAAGAGCTCATCCTTATTTTTGAGGGTTTCCCCAGCAGCACCTGCCCTAGAGATGTGACTCCCCCCCCCAAGGTGTCCGTTCACACCTGTCTCCGAGTGGAGGAGACACTGGCTCTAGTCTGAAAATGAACACTGCAGCTCTGGGAAGGACCTGATGGATGTATTTTCCATCACTTTCAAATTGAGTGGTGCCAGGAATCAGGGTTCATAGAGGTATCGAATCATTCACCATTTTCAGTGCAAACCAGTGTTCCCTGTAAGCTGTGTATTTGGGTGGCCACCCAGGAGAGATTCAGATGCTTCCAAGAAGATAGAGCATCCACAGCAGTCAACATGTGTTTCTGCTGCTGGTACACATCCACACATGCCTTGGTGCATATAACAAAATTTATTCTGCACACGGATAGAAAAATTTAGAGGGAACATTGGTGCAAACCTGGGCTGGTTTTGACCTGAAGGAGAGAAGTGCCTTTTCCCCTGACAGTGCCAGTCTCCAGAGCCATCCAGTTTCTCTATCCCCTCCAGGCTGCTGTTGTGTTGGGGAGAACAGTTGGTATCACCTGAAAAGGGCTTGGTATGAGCTTCACCTAGGAATGACTGACCGCCCTTCTGATGAAAGTGATGCGTAGAGCAGCAATGGGAGAGGTGCGGTAACCCTTCTGTGCCTTTCAAAGGAGGGTAAATACAGAACCAAGTAGAGTAAATGCATGCAGGGCCTGCTGCTTCAGCCTGTTGAATTCTCAAGGGCTGGTCCAAGATGATGTCTACATGGCTCTTCAGTTTGGATGATAGGGGCTGAAACTGGACTGTGTTAAAGTGAACTATCACTTAGTTCACACCAGCAGCGTCCACACAAGGCAGTTAGAGCACAGCATGTCAGCTCATGCTCCAGTGCCCACCTCATAGGCCACACTATGTCTACATGGCCCCATTGGCCGCACTGCGGGCTGTCTCGGTGTAGCCTTTGACTCCATTGGGTTTTAGGTGAGGCCCTTCGAGCATTTTAATCAACAATGTGCTCTTAAGAGAATTCTCTCACCCAGCTTCCCTTGCACTGAACTTTTTTTGGCCTTTTGTCTTATATAATATTTTGCATGGTTAACCCCTTCCTTCCCAGTGTATTGAAGCATTTTGCAAACATGAATGACCAGCTCAAAATGGCTGGCTGCTTATGGACCTCTCTGTGCTGTGGGGAGAGAGGGAGGAGCAGCAGCAGCTTCATGGATTTCCCCACCCCCAGGACAATCCTTCAGCTCCCATTTGGCCAGTTCTGGCCAATGGGAGCTGAGAAATTACCCTGTGGCCCTTGACCACTGACTAAAATCTTGGAGTTGGCTCCCCATCAAAAATTATTGCCGCCCGTGGTCTAAAGGCTAGAATATTTAAAAACCTTCAGCACTTGAAGTCTGGGCCAGATTTTCAGGACAAGGCAGCTCCCATTCTGGCTTCAAGGGTGGGCGGCGAGCTTGAAAATTAGGCCCTGAGCTCTTTTAAAAACCAGGCTCCACTTGATTTACTGAGGGGCCCTCGCAACACAGTAGAACTGGGCATACTGACTCCCAGCCTTTCCCCATAGGGCGCTCTCTCTGCCTCCGGCTGTAGCAAGACCCTTTAAAATCAAGTCTCGTTGGTGTAGGCTTAGCACCGAGCTGAGAGCACTACAGTTGCCACAGAAGGGATTTATTTTTAACATCAGACAATACAGGAACCAGTTGGCATGGCAAAGTACTTGTCCTCTCTTTCTGTGACAAGGAGGCCTGGAACTGGCTGGGTAACAAATAGCTGTGATTGCCTCTAATTGGACCCTTTTTATTGCTCATCCTGTGTTTTGGCTGCTTGAGGGGGTTTGCTTGGATGTGGCTTTCTTCCTCCTCCCAGCTCTCCCCCATTTTTTTATTTAAAGGCTGGATTTCCAAAGGGCCAGTTCGTCTCCGTGAATGTGGTGCATCATTGGGGAAGCAAAACATTGCTGGATTTTATTGTCCTGCTGTGGAGATTGTGTGTGTGTGCGTCCACCATTCTCCGAATGCACGCTGCAACTGGAACTGTATTAGCTGCAGTAGGACTCAGACAAACTTTGGGCAGGGGGCTGGACTCGATGACCTCCTGAGGTCTCCTCCAGCCTTAGGATTCTATGATAAGCACTTGGGAATGTATCTCCTCATTGCAGGGAGCAGAAGAGCACAACTGCTATGAGATGCTTTGTTCAGCACCATATCCCCTTGCTAGATGTCCTTCATTCTCTTCCACCCCATAGCACTTGATGCAGGTGTGTAGTTGCCTTGACTGACCTTGCCTCGAACACATGTGGTTTGGAAAAGCCTTAGATGTTCCCTTCGTGTGCTGCCAAAGCACACAACTTCTCCACGGAACATCCCCTTGGCCAGACCATATTGCACCCACTGGGACTGCACTCTCAGAAGCCCGTCTCTTTCTATGCCAATTGTTTTTCCCGTGTGATAAATGATGAGAAACATTTGCCCGTTTTCCATGGTAAGAGCAGCATTGGTCCTTGTGGTTTGGTGCTATTGTATTGCCACTGTGAGGTGCACTCCTTACTACTTCCAAAGGGGATCTGTTGCACTGGGAGATCCTCCGATGGGAAGGTGCAGTAGATGTGGAAGTGTCCACTGAAGTTCTGTTGTGTTATTGTCCCACTCAACCCCGCTTCTCCTCCTGCTCCTCAGCAGGTTTTTTGTCGTCACTTAGGGAGGGCACACCTTAACTCCCTGCAATCCCAGGAAACCAGTTGCTTCCTGCTCTTATCACATGGGTCAGTGCTTCAGCTGGCATTGATGCTGGAAATCACCCTGCAGTTTCTGCCTGGCTACCAACGGCAGAAATCTGGAGATTTCTGTCCACCGCTCTGGTGGCATCACGTGCTTGTGAACAGGACAGTGTCCTGTAGCTGGCACTAGTGTCGGCAGAGTGTTTCACACCAGGCAATCAGCAAGAGGGAGCAGTAATTGTGCACCACCTTGGGTCTACTTCTAACCAGGTCGGTACAAGGTCCCTCCTATGTAGCTGAGCCGAGCTGCACTTAATAAGAACATAAGAACGGCCATACTGGGTCAAACCAAAGGTCCTTCTAGCTCAGTAGCCTGTCTGCCGACAGTGGCCAGCACCAGGTGCCCCAGAGAGGGTGGACCGAAGACAATGATCAATCGATTTGTCTCCTGCCATCTTTCTCCAGCCTCTGACAAACAGAGGCCAAGGACATCATTTTATCCCCTGGCTAATAGCCTTTTATGGACCTAACCTCCATGAAATTAACTAGCTTCTCTTTAAACTCTATTACAGTCCTAGCCTTCACAACCTCCTCTGGCAAGGAGTTCCACAGGTTGACTACACGCTGTGTGAAGAAGAACTTTCTTTTATTAGTTTTAAATGCAAGCAAGCAAATGTTTGCTGCCCAGTAACTACAGAGAGAAACTCCATATATGGCCACAGGGTAGCTTGGTGAAGGGCCTAACCCCAATGAAGTTGTTACTCCCTGAATACAAGGACTCTGAAAGTTCATGTGATGCCAGTCCAGGGGTGGGTCTTCCCTGGCATTTTGAGCCATCCTGTTAGAGAATAAACAGGAGAGATAGGATCGAGTTTTAGCCAGGAAGGGTGGCACAGCCCTGAGAGAGAATAGCAGGATGTGCCACAAAGAAATAATAATTTAGCAAGGAAAACCGCACAGCTACTGTTGGAAAATTTTGTCACCATCCCAAGATCTCTCAGTCCTTGGTCTGACGGGGCCACCTCCTCAGCCTGGTGTAAATTAGCCCAGTGCCATTCATGTCAACAAGCATGTGGCTGGAGGGGAGAAATTCCCTAGATTTGAGGCAGGCAGTCTTTGGAGGTCTCCCAAAGCTCGCCCACCCCGGGATCATCTCCAGGAGGCAGTGGCACTGCATCATACAGGGTCTAACTCTTTGTCCTAAGGAAGAGTATGTCACCAAGCCCCGCCACATGTTTGAGCTGACATGGGCGTAAGCACGTTTCTCATCATGCGAATTGTAGCTGCACGCTCCCCGCCTTGGCTTCCTCTATGCAATGTGGCCCCGTATGTTGCTAATGGTCTACGTCACCCAAACTAACTCGCCCTCCCAGCAGCTCTCTTTGGGATTCTCAACAGGGTATCCACAAACTACAGGCCCTGTAGGCCGACATCTCCTCCACCCATCAGAGCCCATTCTAGATCTGTGTTGGGAACAGAAGAACTTCAGCCACGGTTCTGGACCTGTCGGGAGCAGACAGGACGTCAGCCTTTCAAACTGGCATCTTTCCTTTATACTCAGTTCACTCAACTCCCCCTCCCCATCACCAAAGAGGAATCATTAAAGGAATAGATCTGTTACGGGAAGACATTTTCCATGTGCCAAGCCAATTGTTCCTGTTCCCATTGTCTGCTGAACAGAAGAGCCTCTTGAGCGGAGGAGCTGAGACTGTCGGAAGAGGCCTGTTAGTGGAACAAACCCTGTAACAAGATAACTGCGTTTTTTTTTTTACTTCTTTTTTTTCCCCCTGCTCGGCAAACTGTATAATAAAAATACAATGAGGCCCTTTTCAAACAGACACTTATTAAAGTAACAAACCCATTTTAAGAGTAAACTTCCAATGGCTCTGAAAGGTTAAGTACAATGGAAATGTGACCCGCTGGTGGAATGGAACTTTCCTTTTGTGTGGGCTTGAAAAATGAATACATTTTCACTGAGCCACAGACTGATTGTTCCTGGTTCCCCCATTGTCCAGGCAACAAGGCAGCCCTCTTACCCAGCTACATACCAGTGAGAAGGAGAGAGACCTGTGACAAGAACAGACTAGTTTTTATCTCCCCTCTCTCCTGCACAGTGGGGTTGTGCATGAAGCAGAGGTATTGCAGTAATAAGAGCTAGAAGACCCTGACCCTTTGATCTCCCTTGCTCAGTTAATTGCCATTCCTGGTCTATTGTGATGCCAGGGCCGGCCACCTAGATGTTCCCATCCCAGTTCTCGCATGCTGACCTTTGAAGATCGGGTAAGGTGCTGTGAAAATGAATTGACGTTGGTGTGTGTGCACAAGAGAATGTTGGGGGGGTGGGATTGATGATGGATTGAGAGGCCTGGGGCAGAATGTCTTTTCAGCAATATGGGCCTTGGCAAAGCAACTATCCACTGTCAGTGCAGCTCTTTCCTGAGCCCAGGAGACGTCCCTCTCCTCCCCGGGAACTTCTCTGTGCTTGGGAAAGTTTCCACGTAAGAATATAAGAATGGCTATACTGGGTCAGACCAAAGATCCATCTAGCCCAGTATCCTGTCTCTGACAGTGGCCAATACCAGATGCCCCAGAGAGAATTAACAGAGCAGGGAGATCAAGTGATCCCTCTTCTGTCATCTATTTCTAGCCTCTGATAGAGGGTGCATCCCAACTGCCTGCCCCAAACTCAGCTCAGAGTCCCTCTCACACTACAAATCCCTTAATCCAAGACCCGAGCCTGCACCCCAACCTGCTGGCCCTGCCTGGTGAAAGTGAGGGAGGATGGGGGAGGGAAGATGGAGTGAGCAAAGGCGGGGCCTTGGAGAAGGGGCACAAAGGAGATGGGGCAAGGACATGTAGGTTTGAGGTAGATCTTGGATTGCACTTACATTCAAAAAGTGATCTCATGCTTAAAAAGGTTGGAGACCCCTGTCTTATGTGATAGGAACAAATAAGTAACTTTTCATTATTCACTTTTTCCATACCCATCATGATTTTATAGACCTCTGTCCTATCCCCCCTTCGTCTCCTCTTTTCTAAGTTTAGAAGTCCCAGTCTTTTTAATTCATATGGGCAGGTTGCTTACATGGCCACGCTTCCCTGCCTTAGCTTTCCTGTCTGCAAAGCAGGAATAATAGTAACCCCAGTGCGGAAGGTGGAGGAAGGTTTTAAAGCTGCATTGAGGGAGGCAATGAGGAAAGGAGCTAATTGCTAACGTGCGTTTGAAGGGTGCCAAAGACCCCAGAGAATGGCAGCTCAGTCGGAGTGAAGCTCCCTCTGGGGCAGAAACCAACAGAAGCCCAAGGTGTTGCATACCTGGGAGGTGGGGACAATTTTCACCTGGCCCACTGGGGCAAATCCCTACTCAGAAAATGCCACGGGAGCTTTAATGGTCCCCGACGAGGGAGTCTAACCTGAAAGACCCCAATCATAGTCAATTGCAAGAAAGTCAATGTAGCTAACTTGTGGAAGGCTAAGAGCAAAGAGATGGTCCAGTTATAAAGAGTCTGGATATTATCCAACCTGTGTGTTAAGCCAACATGTGTGAACATGATCCCAAGTGGATCTGACAGGATCCCTCCCTTATCAAAAATGTTCTCGACGGAGCTTACCAAAGGCTCAATTCCTTGTCAGTGGGGTTGTCCTCAGACATGTTAATTGTCTCCGTGGCTGGAATCTAGTGAATACAATTAATATGTTTTATCAGAGGGTCCTGTGTAGGGGCACGGGAAAGGGACACCAGCCTCTCTAACGTGGGGGATTCATTTGTTCAGTCGCTGGAGATGGGAGAGCAGTGGGGCCAGAGAGAAGCCGGACGGCGTTAGGGATGAGAATTCAGAGATGTAGGCTTCTGACTGGCGTTACTGTACGAGCCAAAAGGAAACCCAATAGCCTGGAAAGCGCAATGATTAGTTCAGAGAAGGGCAGGGGACCGAGATAAAAAAGCCCTGCTAAGATCAGAAACTCTGGCGCGCACAGTGCCCCATTGTTAAGCTGTCACACTTCCCTTTACTTTATTGCTTTTGTCCAACACCCTATTGTTCCACTTCCTTTTGTCCCCTATTCAGAGCACTGGCTTTTCATTACCCAGCCGGCCTTGTTGTTTTCGTTTCTTTTGTTTGAAGTTCCTGAGAGGAAGGTTTTATTTTCAGCAGTTTGATTAATTCACAGCTTGAGCTGGGCTTTGTTTGTTATGTAATTGCTGCCCTGCGCTTTTCCAGAGCTTGCACAGCCTCGCGCTGGCCCCGCTCCCCTCCTCCTCTGGCTGGAAACCGCATCACTCAAGGTGCGGGCGGTTTCTACGGGGTCTTTGGGGGGATCTCACCAAGCCACGTTTTGGAACATAAGAATTGTCACTTCCGAGCATAACTAGCCACCTGTCCAGCCCAGTGTCTCATTGCAGGCGGCACCAAGACAGACCACAGTGGTCTGCCTACTCTGGTCTCCTGCTGCCTGCCATTCTGCAGCAGACACAACGGTCCATCTAGTCTGGTATCCCTCTACCTGCCACATCCCAATAGACCTTATGGTCCATCTAGTCTGGGATCCGTCCGCATTCGAAAAGACCCTACAGTCCATCTAGTCTGGTATCCCTCCGCCTTCCGCATTCCAAAAGACCCTATGGTCCATCTAGTCTGGTATCCTTCCTCCTGCCACATCCCAACAGACCTTATGGCCCATCTAGTCTGGTATCCCTCCGCCTTCCGCCTTCGAAAAGACCCTACGGTCCATCTAGTCTGGTATCCCTCCGCCTGCCGCATTCGAAAAGACCTTATGGCCCATCTCATCTGGTATCCCTCCACCTGCCTCATTCCAAAAGATCCTGCAGTCCATGTAGTCTGATATCCCTCCACCACTTTTCTTGGTCCTGCCCATGTGGTAGTTGGGAGGAGCCCCTTCTGTGGAGATACAGGGTCGCCTGGTCACAAGACAAGGCGCCAGGAGTTCCTCAGGTCTCATTCAGGTTCACCGTATCCTTAAGCCCCTCACCTTGGGTCCAGTTCTTCAGAGGAGCCGAGGCCCTGCAGCTCTCACTGACTTCCGCTGGAGTTGTGGGTACCCAGCTCCTTTTGAAATGCCAGGCCCTAGACCTGTCCGAGCCTCATCTGGAAAGGGGATAACAACACTCGCCCCTTTCCTGAGGGTGTATGTGTGAAAGGTAATGAGCGAATCTTTGGGGAGCATTGTCAGGTATAGCCAGGGGGGAAGTGACTCTCTCTAGCTGTGGGCAGCTCAGTGGCAGAGCCTGGGTGCAGAGACCAGGCCTCTTGACGTCTTGTATCCGTCTTCTGACTCACGTTGCATGGGAGCCAGGGCTCCGGGGCTCTGTTTGCTGCTCTGTCAATGACTAGTTGAGCCTCAGATTGCTCATCAAGGCAATGGGTACTGCGGTTCTTCTCACACATGCTCTGGAGGGTGGTGGGTGCGAGAGCCTTTCTAGAAAGCTGCTAGGTAAGTACAGTAGTGTTTTCAGGAGTCCACACGCTTGTTGTGGCCCCATGTTCCATGCCGCTATGTGGTTTTTTACTAGGCCTTCGTGACCACATTGCATCACATATAGGAGGTGGGTTGGGTTTGGTCCTGGGAGCTCCTGGTCTCTGAAGCCGGTATCCACAGCAGCGAACGCTCAGGAAGCTATGAACAGTGGGGGCTTTGCAACTGGCATTATCCTACTCCTGGTAGCAGAACAAACCAGGTAGATGATGCAGACCCAGTGAATCCCCACGCTTTCCCCAGGTAGTGGAAACCCAGTGAGTCCCCATGCTTGCCTCGGACAGATTTCTGTGCTGCAGGGCTGTTGGGGGAATTGGGCACCAAAGGGTGATGCAGGACAGTCTGTTCGGAGCCATAGGGAAGGAGAAATCGCTGTTTCAGAGTTGCATAAATGTCCCTTGGGTGTGACGCTGTGGGGACAGGCTTCCTGCCAACAGCACGTTGTGCCAAGACCCAAGCTCTTGGAATGCACAGACTGGAAGGAAGGAGGCCCTCGCTGACTGATTTATTCCGGGCTGCTCCTGGCCGTTCTGCCTCCAGAACTTGGGTACTGTGGCTGTATGGTCGGCACAACCCCTCTGGCCCCGTCGCCATGCTGACCTCTCTCTCCTCCCCTAGGATGTCCATGAGGAGCCCTGTTTCTCCCCACCTGGAACTCGATGGAGCGGGAAGCATGGTGAACTGCACCATCAAGACAGAAGAGAAGGCTGATAGCTGTCAGGAGTCACCCCAGGCAGCCCCTGCCGGCTCCGAATCCCATGCCAGCGATTTGCATGGAGTGCCGCTGAGGGAGAATGCTGAGCCCCGGGCGCTTCCACAGGTGGGACTAAGTCTCCTGCACCCCTTCCCCTCGTAGCCTCCAGACTCAGGCTCTCCTAGCTCATAGGGCCCAATCCCAGCCTGCTGTAAGCGGGTGCCGTTCCATCGAGCCAAATTCGATGCTGATTTATGAAGCCAATGGGAAGCCATGTGGTATAAGTCTGTGCCAGTGCAGTTGCACCTGCTGACCCCAGGGCTGGCTGCTTAATTCATCTGTCTAACCCAGGAGTCTCTGATGCACTCATCGCTATGGTAACCAAACCCCTTCAGCCTACCAAGTCTTCAAGCATCCTAAGGATGTGTCAGAGGTGTCGTTGCCTGCCGAGTTCCTGCTGGCACCTTAACCCCTAAAGTTCAGGGGTGGGGAACCTGAGGCCTAGGGGGCTGGATGTGGCCCCCGGCTTGCCTGGATCTGGCCCCCAATGCTTGGGGCTCTGTGGGGCTAGAGCACACAAAATCTACTAGTCTGAGCCCCCCTAGGCTCTCATGTGCGAAGAGAATGTGGGGAGTGTCTTTCTCCTTCACAGTCAGGGGCCACGTCAGTGCAGGGTTGGTTTTTCTTTTTTCCTTCTCACTTGCGTGTGGCCCCCGACTGATTTTTCTGTGGGTCAGCAGCCCCTGACCCAAAAAAGGCTCCCCACCCCTGTGTCTAAACCATCTTTCTTCCCACGTTTCTGTGCAGTCTGGCACTATGAGGTTAACCTTTCCTGCAGGTAGGTGGAGACAGAAGCCAGCTGCCCTCTTAGACTTGGGAGGGTCATGCCACGTTCCAGCCTAGGCCCCTGGGCGTGCAGCTGTGTAGTCTGTAGGCAAGAGAACATTGTTGTTACCCTGTCTGCTGCCTGCATGGACGCCTCATCCATAGGAAATAAAGCTGAAATTTGATGCTCCCCCAAACAGGCTGTCCGTCCACCGCTGCTATTATCGAGTCAGTCGTGCTATTTGAGTGATGGCCAGAACCAGCAGCCCCGCTGAAGCCGCACACAGATTTGCCACCTTAGAAACGGCTCCAGTTCCTCTGGGGAGACCTGTGGCTGCGCTTTCATTTTCCCTTTTTAATTGCTCTTGGGTTTCCCCCCCACTGTGCCACTCCTCCTTGCATTGCTTCAGACCCTGCTGTTTCCAATTCCTGCCTTCCCAGAGGGAGTCACATTTGCAGAGGGGCATCACCATTGCAATAAATAATTGACAACCATTGCAAACAAGTGTTTGCAGCCTGAAAAAATAAGCCACTTTAAATGTGCTCCAGGCTCATGGGGTAGATCAGGATTGAGAAGTCTCCAGTTGAGAAATGCTGTCTAGTGGTTAGAGGCTTGTGAGTAAGCTATTCAACCTCTCCCATGGTTTCACAATCTGTGAGTAGCCTGCCTTTTAAAAAGGCTATGAAGCTGCTTCTTTGTAAAGTGCTTTGAGATCTTCTGAAGCACTCAAAGGGTCTATCTCAGGAGCATGCAGGGATATTGCTCGGATGCTCAGCATGCTTTTTTATATACGTCAGTGTATGTGTTCTCCTCCTTTCTTCACACCATCACAGGAACCACCGGGTGTGGATCTCTGGCCAGTGTTCCGTAGATTAAACTACATGGTCACAGTGGTCCCTGCCTGCCCTTAGAACCTGTGAATCTTCTCCCTTTTGGGATTTGGAGTGATACGCAGTAAATTGAGAGTCATTTTTTGTACATTGCAGGAATCCCAATCTCCCGTGAGCAACGCGCTAGACGCCAGGAGGTCTGCTTTTGAGCCTGCCGTCATCAGCCAGGAAAAGTTAGATTTCCACAGAAACTTGAAAGAGGGTAAGACGGGTTTGTGAACATCGGTCTCCATTATAGACTCATAGACTCTAAGGTCAGAAGGGACCATTGTGATCATCTAGTCTGTCCCCCTGCACAGTGCAGGCCACAAAATCTCACCCACCCCTCCTAGAATAATCCTCTCGCCTATAACTCAGATATTGAAGCCTTCAAATACTTTGAAGACCCCAAGATGCAGAGAATCCTCCAGCTGTAATCTGTACCCCATGCTACAGAGGAAGGCGAAAAACCTCCAGGGCCTCTGCCAATCTACCCTGGAGGAAAATTCCTTCCCGACCCCAAATATGGCGATCAGCTAAACCCTGAGCATGTGGGCAAGACTCATCAGCCAGACACCCAGAAAGTTCTCTATAGTAACTCCTATCATCCCTCCATTGACCTATTTCCCACTGATAATGAATGGTCAATTAGCTACTAAGATCATGTTATTATGGACCGCTTTATCCTGGCCCCATATTTTAGGAAAAACAATGAGGAATCCTGTGGCACCTTAAAGACAAACCGATTTATTTGGGCTTTCGTGGGTAAAAAAACACTTTGGTGCCACAGGACTCCACGTTGTTTTTGCAGATACAGATTAACATGGCGACCCCTCTGAGACTCGTCACCATATTTTAGGGTTTTTTTTCCCCTAAAGTTCTGAAAGAGGCTCTGACCGCTGATACATAAATGAACATACTTTGAACAATACCATGAGCTGGTGATAAGCAATGTGGCCTCATAGATCGTGAGGACAATCAATAACCATGACTAACATTGTCTCTCATACTTCTCTCTCTGTCTTTCTCCACACCCTGTACACACCTATTGTGATAGTTATGCCAACCATTGAGAAGTTACTCTCCAGTGACTGGAAAGAAAGGCTTCTGGGTAGAAGCACCATGGAATCCAAAGAGGTGAAAGGTAAACAGTAGAGTGACTGCCATCCCTTTCTCCCCGCTTACTTTCCCATCGTCTCCCTGCCCTTTTTCTCCTTTGCCTTGTGTGTGTGAATATTAGGGCTTGTCTTCACTGCAGCAATAGATCCACCTGCTGTTGATTTATCGTGTCTCCTTAGATGCGATAACTTGACCTCTGAGCGCTCTCCCATCGACTCCGATACTCCACCAGGATGAGAAGAGTAGTTGGGGTCGATGGGAGAGCAGTCCCCACCTACTTTACCTCATGGAAGACCCTGCAATAAGTGTGTCAACTTCAGCTATTCTAGTCACATAGATGAAGTTGTGATCGATGGGGAGGGGGCGAGACAGGGGCATAGTGTAGAGTAGAACTTAGACCAGGTTGAAAAGGAGGTGTGATTGTGGGGGGGGAGGGGGGATTTTGCATACATCCTCTCTCCCCCTTTTTCCAGTTTTGGTCAAAATTGGGAATTTCAAGTACCCATTTTCTTTGGACTTCTGGAGAAAAAATATGAGCAGTCCTAGTGAGTCTTTATCTGGTCAGTACTTTAATATGTGACTCTCTAAAGCAGGCAACCTACAGCCCACGGACTACATGCGGCCCACTGGTGCTCCACTTGTGGTCTGCGAAACCCCTGGCTGCCCCACCCCATGTGCCTCTCATGCACCAGGGCACCGGAGCTCCACACTTCCTGCTTCTCCACCCTCTCTCCCTCCCAGCACTTTTGGAGGAGCTGCAAATCACCTAATTTGCGCTCCATTACCATCCTGCCTCCAGCTGGAATGCAGCGACTCAGCTGTTTGTGGTGTTCCAACTCTGGGAGAGAGGGGGAGGAAAGTGCAAATCAGCTGATTCACAGTGCTCCAGAAGTGCTGGGAAGGAGGGAGAAGAGCAGGCAAGTGTGGGGCTCCGGTGTTCCTGTGTGCAAGAAGCATCTGGGACATTGAAGGGCTGATGGGGGCCACGGGGTTGCAGGTGGAACCCCAGTGGGCCGTGGGCTGCTGCAGCCCGTCAGTGTGAAGGAGAGGCTCTCATGCAGCCTATCCACCATCCCTACTCCAGAGCACATACTAAAGGGATGAAGCACAAACCAACCTCTCCAATAAAGTATCTAGAGAATTTGTGTCCAAGTCCCAGCTAAGCTCTCTGCTGGCTCCGTCAGAGGTGTAACTGCAGCATGTATTGACCCAAGAAAGCTTTGATCTAGCTAGCTGGAATAACGCTACCAGGGGAACCCTGGCAGCACTGGCTAGCCACTCAGGTTCCCACCCAGGGTCATGGGTGGGTTGTGCATCTGCTGCTCCTGCAGCTACACTGCCTGGGTACCCAAGCTAGCCAGATCACGTCATCCATGTGCTGATATACACCTGTGTAGACGGACCCTAAACCTTGTAGAAGAATTGGAGTTTGCTCTGTGAAGCCAGCCAGACACCGTTTACCCACCCTCTGCTGTTGGGTTACTTGCTTGGGCCAGGAACCCAGGAGAGCTTAGCGGAGAAGGAGCTGCAGTTGCTCGTCATGATCAACCAGCTCTCTACCTTGCGGGACCAGCTTCTGACGGCCCATTCGGAGCAGAAGAACATGGCGGCCATGCTGTTTGAGAAGCAGCAGCAGCAGATGGAGCTGGCTCGGCAGCAGCAGGAGCAGGTATTCAGCTACCACTCTGGAGAATCTATTTCACCTACTCTGTCTCGGATCCCTAGGGAATAGTTTCAGACCCAAAGCCAGTAGCCCAGCAAGCACATGTCGGTAGGGTGTACCAGAGTCTTGGCTCTACCTGATCCATTCATCACCATGGCATAGAATATAAAGCTGGCTGAATATCAGATTGTTTGGTTCGCTGACATTTCCGGGTGTGGAAATCACTTCAGGTCACGCTGCATGTCTTGTTTCCATTTCGACCATTTTAAAGCTTTTGAAATTTGTTTTATAATGAAATGGAAAGGAATTTGGGAACGGCGAGTTGTTTCCGAGCAAAAAATCGAAATGTTTTCAAAATGAGGAAATGTTTGTGCTGTTTGGCTAAATTAAGCACCCAGGGGCTGGTGCAAGAGTTTATATCGGATGTAGTGTTTGAGACGTTCCAAGGCATTTACGCTGCAGCATTTCCTGTTTTATGAAATGTAGATGAAACTAAATTTCAGGTGGAAACCTGGGACATGTACTAGGAAGAAGAGTTTGGTGGGTAGGTCACTGAGTTGGGAGTCAGGAAAGCTGGGTTCAATTCATGGCTTGGCCACAAACTCCCTGCATGACCTTGCATGAGTTACTCCAGCTCTCTGTGCCTCAGTGTCCCTCTCTGTGAAGGGGGTGAATAAGGCTTCTTTTGTCCTGGTTCTGCTCTCCCTTTAGATCATATTTCCTCCAGAGGGAAGGTGGAAGCTTTTAAGTGGCTCCATTTTTTTGTTTTCTCGTGATTTTTAAAAAATACATTGCTGTAACTCTGTCCTTCCAAGCTGGGATCTTCATGGCCCAGGTAGTCTTCTAAGATGGGAAGGAGGGGAGAATTTTTGAGGCTACACATAGGTGCCAAAGAGTTTGGCCCTTGACTGGGGTGATGGTTGTCTTTCTCGGGTGAGAGAGGGCATGTGGGGCACTGTATACTCTGTCAGTCTGGGTTGAGAGCTGGCTGGCATGATCCTCTTTCACTGTGGAAGGATCTTGGCCATCACTGATTCCACCAGACCTACACCTGCGGTGTTACAGGTTGAGCCAAAGGCCCGTGGCCTTGCCTGGTAGAGTTAAACCAGTGCAAACACCTGTGTGGACCCTCTAGTCTTAGTTTGAGCCGTGTGGTTTAGCTCAGTTGAAACCTGCTCCACTCATGCTACCCAAATTAGAGCATCCACGTAGCCTCCACAGCTGTCCCCGAGGCAGCTCCCTGGCTCTGGATCAGTCCCGGGAGGGGTGCGGAATACATTCTGACCAGAGGGGCGCTGCCAGTCCCAGAGGTACCATCTCATGAACCTTCCCATCAGCAAAGCTGAGCCCTCCCTGGCCTTTACGGGCTTGGCATCTCCACAGACCAGTTGTCTTTGTGGTTTCTTTTGCTTGGGGTCTGGGTTTCGCATCCCTTCCCTAGCCCCTCAGAGGTGAGCCATTCCACTAGGCAAATGGCCCTGAGCGAGGCTCGGGTGGCTGGCTTTTTCCAGCCTCTGTGTCAATGCTGTTTCCCCCTCTGACAGATCGCCAAGCAGCAGCAGCAGCTCATCCAGCAGCAGCACAAGATTAACCTGCTGCAGCAACAGATCCAGGTAAGGGGGAGATTCCCCACCCTGAGCCCCTGCGCCATGGGTGCTCCAACCCCCCTTCCTCTTCACTAGGGATGTAAAATCCCTGCTACCCAGCTAACCGATTAAATGAGATCCCACGCAGGAGGCCGGCAGCCCCAAACGTCTGCTCCTGGCTCCCCACATGGGGGGGGGGCTCTCTACCCCCGCAGGGCTGCTGCAGCCCTCCACCTGTGGCAGGCTGTGGGCAGGGGACTGCTCCCAGTACCAGTTAACCACTACCTTACCGGGAAATGGGTTAACCAGTTACCCATTCACATCCCAACTCTTCATCTGCCTGCACGTGAAAATCCTTTATCATTGTGAATGGGGATTAGCTCCCTGTGGCCTAGTTAGTGAGTTGGCTTCTCTCTCTCCAGCAGGTCAACATGCCCTATGTCATGATTCCAGCTTTTCCTCCCAGCCACCAGCCACTTCCTGTGGCCCCAGACTCCCAGCTAGCACTTCCTATCCAACCCATCCCTTGCAAACCAGGTAAGACAGACAGAGGGCACACGGTATTAGAGGGATCAGGGAAGCGACATGTTTGTCAGAGGATGGAGAAGGATGGCAGGAGACAATTCGCTGATCATTGTCTTCGGTCCACCCTCTCTGGGGCACCCGGTGCTGGCCACTGTCGGCAGACAGGATACTGGGCTAGATGGACCTTTGGTCTGACCCTGTACAGCCGTTCCTATGTTCTTCTGTTATGTTCTTATGTTATGTATGTTGACAGGTGTGAGCAGAAAGGGGGAGGTGTTGGGGGGAGAAAGGACTCCCTCCCTCCCCCCAACACCTTCTACATAATCCTGCCATTTCTCGGGTTGTGATCTCAGCATCTGGCAGCTTAGGGAGAACTTGGGAAAGTTGTCTAGGAAGCTGAGACGTGGCAGGGAGGAGAAACGGTGACATTTTTTGGCCGCCATTGGGGAGGCAAATTGAGGATATTTCTGATGATCTGACTGAGGGCTCCTTGGCCCATCTCTACCTGGCTGTGCGGGTGGGAGGGAATCCTCTCCTGAAAGCCCAGCGAGCCGGCTTTCCTGTGGTCACGGCATCCGTCTGCAGAGTCCCTGGTTCTTCGTGAGCTGACCGCTGCGTGTGGAATGGCCACTGTATTCACCGGCCACTTCGCCTCTGGCAGTGCTCTGGGGTGTGGCTCTGCCATCCTTGCTCTCAATTAGATCTCTGGCCATCTCCCCCCTCTTGGAGAGAGTGGGTGCAGCTGGCAGTGAAGGGACCAAAATGAAACCTGGGTTTAATTCCCAGTGCTGTCCCAGACCTTGGCCAAGCCTCTTAGGCTCCCTGGGGCTCGACTCCCCCTCTGTGAAGCGGGGGGTAAAAACCCCTCCTGTGTGTCTTTGCAGCACCTGGTGCAGCGGAGCTCAAGGTGCGAGAGTAACACAACTCATAGTAACACACTTGAATCCCTGCCAGCCTGGGGGGATTGAGCCCCGAGTCTGCACTTGGAACGAGCTCCGCAGGCGGCTGGTTTCTAGAGGGGCTTAGCTCCCCCAGGGCCAATGGCAGCTGCAGTGCTACTTTGCTGGGGTGGATTCCAGGCACAGACCAGGCCTTCGTAGATCCCCCCTGCCCTTTGCTTCTGGCAGCTTACTGGGTGCGATGCCCCTCGTGTGACCTCATTCGCCAATTTCCCTCTTGCTGTCCCCTCTGCAGTGGAGTACCCCATGCAGCTGCTGCACAGCCCTCCTCCCCCGACGCTGAAGAGACCCGCGGGCGCAGGCCATCTCCAGATGCAGGTACCATCCCGAATCTGCCGACCTCCTGCCCTCCCGGCATCACCCAGGGATGTGCCTCACTCCTTCCCTCCTCCCTGTCTCTCTTCCCCCACCCAGGAGTCTTCACAGCCACTGAACCTCACGGCCAAACCCAAAAGCTCTGAGGCCTCCAGTGCCTCCAGATCACCCAGCCTGAAGATGAGCAGCTGCCGAGCCCTCACTCCCAACCACGGGATCACGAGGGACCTGCAGTCCAGCCCTCCCAATCTGCCTCTGGGTAGGTCCTCTCAAATATGCTTCTTGCTGGGCATCCCCTGCCGGCTCCATCCCCTGCCGGCTCCATCTCCTCCATCCCCTGCCAACTCTGTCGTTTGGGAGTGTGCTTAGAGAGGACACGCCTTGCGGGCTCCCTCTGGGTAGGTCCTCTCAAATATGCTCCTTGCTGGGCGTCTCGTGCCTCCATCCCCTGCCGGCTCTGTCGTTTGGGGGTGTGCTGAGAGAGGACACGCCTTGCGGGCTTCCTGGGATCCTAGCGCTTCTCTCCTCACGGGGAAGAGGGAGATGGAAAATCCCTCCCTTGTCCCCAGCAACTGGCCCGTTTTTCATAGAATCATAGAATACTAGGACTGGAAGGGACCTTGAGAGGTCGTCGAGTCCAGTCCCCTGCCCTCACGGCAGGACTCATTTTCAGAGAGTTTCCTCCTGTTCAGGGCTTCTAGGGGAAGCAAGATGGGCAACTCTCTTTAGGAGAAATCCAAAGGTCTGTGCTGGTGCTGGTGTAACACCGACAAGCAGAACTAACCCTGGGCCCTCTGGAGCTTAGTGCAGGAGTTTCTACATCCTGAGCTAAAAGCCAGCTGGCTCTCAGGGAAGGCTGCAGAGCAGACTTGTTGTTCTCTCTAGAAGTTATTCTCATTCAGTACGTGCGACAGCGAACCCCACTCTGTAGGGGTGTGGGTTACACTGGGAGATGGAAGAGTCCCGAGGCCGCTTTCTCAAATCCCACCCACCCAAAGCAGCACCCATGTCTAAAGAAGGAATGAGCCCCGAGGCGGAGCACAGCTGTGGGGGGAAGGCTGGAGGACTCTCTGAGTGGAGTAGCTAGAGTCTGGGGCGGTGTGGGTGGGGCAGCGGGGAGCCCAAGCTTTCTGATTTGAGTCCTTAATGCTAATAGGAAATCAGAAACGGGCTGTAGTTGTCTCTGAGCTAGACGCAGGGCTCCTTTGGCTGGGAGCACCCCAATTCTTTCCTGGGGGCGTGGGGCCTTTGCGAGGACCACGTGCTGGCTCTGACATGTTCTGCACTGGGTGCTTTACCTGCAGGATTTCTGGGAGAGGGGGATGCCATCACGAAAGCCCTCCAGGATGCGCGGCAGCTGCTGCACTGCCATAGCGGGGCAACAGAGAGCTCTCTGAATAACCCCTACAGGAAGGTGAGTGATGTTGGGATGGGGAGCTCCTAGAGTCCCTGATGGAATGGGGAGATCTGAGTGGAGCCAGCTCGGCCCAGAAAGACCAGGAATTCTCAGGGGGAGAGTGAGTGGATATTAAGGGAGCCTTAGGCAGTGTTCCCTGTAAGCTGGGTGCTTGTGCCGCCGCTCAGGAGAGATTCAGAGGCCACCCCACTGAGTAGCAGGCTGGCTCTGAGCTAGGATCAGCAGAGTGTCCACAGCTAGGTTTTTGTTTCTACGGGTGGTGCACCGTTGCACGTGCCTTGGTGCACATAAAAATTATCCTTCACATGGATGGAAAAAATCTACGCCTGGTTGGGAAAGATTAGAGAACATTGGCCTTAGAGGAAGAGCCCTAGAGGGTATAATAGAAAATTCCTTTTCTGTAGGTTCCTTCAGACCCTCTTATAGAATTGAATGGGGAATTATCTCCAGGCTGTAGCATTCTGTAGATTAGTTGGAAAAGACCCTCTGGAGAAAGGACTCCTGTTGGGATTCAGAGTCTTCCTGTAGAGAGCTGTTAGTTGTCTCTCCCATTATACTATAGAGGCCCCTTTTCCATAAGGGCAGTAGGGCGTGGGGAGTGGATGATGCTGAATGTGGATTGCCTGCCCGTGGGACGAGAAAGTGCTGGACATGCTCCTGGTGGGGGTGGGGGGGTTACTCCGCCACCTTCCTTGTGTGGGTAACTAGCCATGTCCTGTTCCCCATGGGCCTGCAGGACCAAATGAGCTTGGATTCCTCACCAGCGAAGGAGCGGATGGAGGAGACGTGCGCGCACAGACTGGAAGAGTCCATGTTAGCCTGTGATGTAGATGGTAAGGGTGCGCTGTCCCCAGAGTCACCTGTGGGCGTGATCCAGAGAGTGCCACGCACTTTGGACACCCATTACAGGGGGGATTGTCTGGGGCTGGGCCAAAAGGGAGAGAATGCATCGCTTTTCCTCCTTCTCTTTTCTTCTGGTCTTCTCTGATGTTTTTCCTTTTCCACGCTGCCCCCGTCCCTTCTTTCTTGACCTGGCTCCCCAGCCCTTGTCTCTCTCTTCGGGCTGTGCTGCATTCGTTGAAATAAAGAGCCCGAAGAGAAGAAGCAAAGACCTAATTTAAGGGACGTGCTTATTTGAGATGGGTGGGAATTTAATTTGTGGTCACTCAGTTGATTTCCTGCAGCCTCGCTCTGCTGTTCTCCCCCGCTGACAGGGAGGGGCAGTGTTACAGCTCAGTTAGCACTTTGTGTGTAAATGGAGCTGAACACGAAGCATGGGATGGCAGGAGGAGAGGAGGCCGGCAACAAGCGAAGGCCACGCTAACCATTTGTGGCTGGGCCACAAGGGCTCCGGACAGGGCAGCCGAAACACGTCCCCTCGCACTGCGGGTAGTTCGCTTAATGCCACTTTGGCTCGGTTTCATCTTGGTTTTTTAAAAAAAAAGGGGCCATCTGTGAACCTTTTTCGCAAAGCCCATTAGTTACCATGGAGACAATGATGTCATGGAGGTGGGTGGAGCTGAGGGTCATCCCCATGGGTGGCATAAAGTCTCTGAGAAAGCTAGATTCCCCCCAGCATTGCAGTCAGCTAGACTTGAGAGAGGCGGGGGCTGATTCTGGCTCCTGATTCTGCACGAAGGGATCGCTATGCAAACAGAGAACCCGCGGCACAAAGTTGCATCCGAGCCCTGCCCAGCATGGCCCTTATGCCCCCCGGCCTGGGAGCTGCTCCTGATCGTAGACAAGAGTCAATCCCCTCTCTTCTCCTCAGCTGGCCAGGTCCAGCCAAAGCCTGGCTCTTGAACTGTCCGACAGAGCCAGAGAGAGAGAAGGTAGCCTGAGGGATGGGCCCCACAGGCGGGGTGGCTGAGTGCACGTGCGTGGGCCGACCTGATGGACTGAGCATCCCGGAACGAGCCCTGACCGGGGCTGTTCACGCTGCCCGCCCCTCCACCTCTGTCATGGCACCTCCGGCCCGACAGGCAGCTCCCTGGGACCCCTCCCCCAGAGCTGCTGACCTCTCTCGATCTCGAAGCTATTCCAGCGCTTACCCTGTCCTGGAGGTAAAGGGGTAAGGACTGAGCTGAGACCCAGCCAACATTTAAATCCAACTTCCCAAACATGCCCGTTCATTTTGCACGCCCCAGCGTCCGAGTGCTTGTCACGAGCCACTGAGGGCCTGCTCTTCAGAGCACCTGCAGCACCATGAAAGTGAACGGGAGCTGCAAGTCCTCAGCGCCCCTGCAGGGTCAGGCCCCTGGAGATGGAGCTTTATTTATCCAGTGCGTCTGGGAACCCACAGCTCCCCCACCCGGGAAGCAGCCTTTGAAAACCAAGCCAGTCAGGCTGCTATTAACAGGGATTTGAACCTCAGTCTTTGTGGTGAGAATCCAGTGCAGTGTCTCTCTAGGCCCCCTTGTTCTTAAGCTGAAACCCCCCTTGTTGGAGGAGACTCTTGCCGTCACGTTGGTCACCGTTTTGTACCTTGTGTTTTCCTCGCTCCGCTCCCAACAGGCTCACGACACTTCCCCGAGTCCCGGAACAACAACCACATAAAGCGGCCCATGAATGCTTTCATGGTGTGGGCCAAGGATGAGAGGCGAAAGATTTTGCAGGCCTTCCCAGACATGCACAACTCCAGCATCAGCAAGATCTTGGGTAAGTGTCCGGCGGGCAAGCGAGCATGGGGTGGGCTTGCCCTGCTGTGCTATTCCCAATGACATGGGATTGGCCAAGTTTTGCTGACTCATACAGCCATCCAACCCTGGGGATTGCTACTCCCAGGCAGCCTACAGCTGGCTCCGAGTGAGGATGAAAGGACAGCAGCAACCCTCTCCTCTCTCCAGGGACAGCCTGCTGCAAGATCCTCCAAACCCAGTACACGGATGCGCTGACCAGTGAAGCAGCAGGGCCATAAAAACAAACCATCCTGCCCCCAGAGGAGAAAAGAAAGGCACCAGTGGCTAGTACTGCCCCTTTGGGCGTCTCGCCCCAAAGCCGACCTCTCCAGCAACACACTGTGGCTATGTCTACACTGGCATGATTTTCCGGAAATGCTTTTAACGGAAAAGTTTTCCGTTAAAAGCATTTTTGGAAAAGCGCGTCTAGATTGGCAGGACGCTTTTCCGGAAAAGCACTTTTTGC